AACAAATATATAAAGAAATCAAGAAATTATAAGGGGTAACGATTATTATTGCTGAACCGATTTTCTTCAAATTAATAATTCTTCGAATTAAGTCTTGTGATGAATATATAAAGCTTTAAATTTAAAGTGTTTCCGAAATCCATTCTGGCGTTTAGACGTAATCGTTGTGCTAGCGGACTAAATCAAGGCGCTCGTAGATTTCAACACTCTTTTAAAATTGCAGATTGGACAATATCGTCTTATTATACATATATAATCTCTATAAGGATAATGATGTACAACGGTACCCTTCTCTGCAAATTTTCAAAGCGTAACGAAATCTACGGACGTTGCAGGCCACATTCTTTTCGTGCGTGAACAATGCATATTGTATATGCATGTATGCTTATTAATACTATCGCGTCAAAACAACTCAATGTATTCTAATGTAACGTTGTACATGAGAAATATATTTTCATAACAAAAACAAATACAATTTTGAGCTTATGCCGTCCATAAATAACGAATAGTTGTCTCTTGTATGACGTCTTTTTAAGCGCGTTACTGCTGTTTTTTATTTAAATATAAATAAGTTGCAATGCAGTTGAAATAAACAAGAGAAATACTCTTAACGATTGCATTGAGATGATTGTTTCATTTTTTTGTACTATTCTTAAAGCAACGCCATAATTTCTAGTCGAGTATCTTTACATTTGATCGATGTACTTGGAAATAATTATATCCTGGTCGGCTGAAGATTCGTGTGCACGCGTTGATGCTAGAATTAGCCTCTTATTATAAATTGTATCGAATAAAAGACCGCAATCGCAGATGTATCGATAAATTCTAAACTTACACGTACACATGTAACATACATGCAATAATTCTCTGTGGCGGAAGTGCAATATATCTGATACACCGACATTACCTTTCTCACTCGGAAATCACAGTTGAACATTGGTTTTTCAACGTTATCCGTGGCACACGTTTGTTTCATTTTACAATACATATTAAGTGGTATGGTATGTTGGACGTAGTACGTCAGCTACAATGCTTCAGTTTATACGTCGCGGAACAATTAGAAGCACGTAAGAGCAATCGAGTCTAAATTGTTGTGAAAATTACAAATCAAAGGTGGTAAACATTGTAAAATTTGAACAACGATCCAAAAATAATGGGTATACAAAGACGATACGTATTAATAACATTGAGCATTGCACAATAACCTAAGGTCACGATACAAAAGAGCCCGTGAAATATACACTACGATAATTAATAATTGTGTATTATACGTTAGGCAAAATTTTTGTTTGAGACAACCGTTTGCTCCAGATTTGCTCCTACTTACTATACGCACCGTTATACTGGCGAAAGAATCACAGTTAAATATTTGATACGCTAATGTTTGCAGGTTAGTTTAATAGTTTTTTCCAAAGATTCGATATATTGGAAATATAAAGAATTAGCGCAACAAAGATATAAACACTTCTACAAAGTCATAAAATGAGTGCTGTGAATTTTGTCATTGATATAATAATTTGTAGGTATACAATTGCATTAGAAGGTATATCGAATCGATGAGATGTCTTGGTAAAGTAATTTGACGAAACGAAAAAAGTTGCAAGACCGTAGATTTAGGTATATTATCGTTACCGCGAACAACATCGAGGAACCAATTTCATCTTTAAATGAAATTACGCGATTTTTCTTAACGATAATACACTTATTTACGTTTGAATTCCGTATTTTCGGTCGATCGGTCACTCGCTCGCGTTTTAAACTTATCTATCAAACACTTTATATTTCGTACTTCATCCTTCACGCTTCATACTTCACACATAGATCACAGTTAAACAATTGATACTTTCGTACACGCCCGCGTCCAAGGGAATAAGGTTCGAGAAGTTACTGAGGCATACCGGACGCGGCCCCAAGACGAGAATTTCCGTATAGCGAATATGGAGAGAAATACGGTGACAGACCCGCAAGACTATGCGGATGCGGCGGTGGAAGGGGTAAACCTAACGATGATAGGGACGGTGGAAATAATAGGGAACTTTTTCCATATGGGTGATAACGCGCAGTTGCAAACGGACTCAAAGGAGGCGTAGGATAAGTTCTAGAAAATAACAGATGCGTTGGTGGTAATTCAATGGAAGGCGACAACAGAGACATCGTGGCCACCGAAGAATCCGTGGTTCCACTGGCCGACACGCTCGTGTGACTCCTCAGATGCTGTAACAACTCGTCCGACGTGGAAAACCTTTTGCCGCAGTAGGCGGTGTCACTGGCGATCCAATTGCAAATGTAGGGAAGTTGCGAGGTCGCAGCCATGGTAGCCAACTGTGCGTGAGCGTAAGCGGCAACACCCAATGTTCCATAAGGCGTATCGGACTTGTGATCGCACTGAGTACAACCAGCAGGACAGGAACCGGATGTGCTACCACTGCTAGAAGTTAGTTTTCCATTAGCGACTGCCGCACTCGCAGAGCTAACGAATAGATGAGAATTTAGTTGACAACCGTTGCAGTATGGATCCCGGCATAAGGGCATTAGCGCGTCGGGGCATATAGCAGTCTTTAATCTAGCGTAACTCAAATATGGGTTTCCAGTTACTAAACCATTTTTTAACGCTGCATGGTGCTGAGACACTAAAGAACTGGCCATTGCGTCGACAGGTGATTGCAGGTTATAGGCTAGATAGCCGGAACTCCAAGATGATAAACTGACTCCTGGCTTGAAAATTCCCAACGGAAGATCCTTGACGAACGGATCTGTCATAGCTAGAACACTGCTGGAGGTAACGGCTGCAGTTGGTTGCGACGAATTTGACGACTCGAGTTGAGTCAACGACATCCTCGCAACAGGTGATTCTCGAGTAATATCGCTGTTCGGTGTCGCAGTTTTCCGACCTTGCGGTGTCACTGCTTGAACAGATGAGGCGCTGTGATTGCTCGAGCATCGCTTACTACTGCTACCAGGTGTCCTGGATCGACCAGACACCGAATGACTAGAGGATGAACGTTGCTCGTCTGGACTTGGTGCTTTCTCAGAATCCAAACACGACTCGTATGGTTTAAAATTGGTCTTGTTAGAGTCTGCGGACGTTGCAGTTGGTGCGATTGCTGGCGACGACTTTTCACGCGACTGATCCGCAGATTTCAACGGCTTGTCCAACGAGCCTAGGAGAGATTTATTGGACGGCATGTCTGCTCCTATTTGATTGCAAGCCTGAGCGAGGAGTGCGAGCGGGCTTTTTTTCGCATCCAACTGAAATGAAAATAAATGCTTGAGAAAAAGATTCAAAGTTAAACATTTTAATTGAAAAAAGTTTCTTTTTGAACTATGATAACAAATACCGTAATCACGGTAACCCATTTTATCGCCCGTTTATATTTCGATATAACCCCAAATAATCACTTATACCTAGAGTTAACGTAGTAATTATTAAATTAATTATTATATTTGTCTCGTTAGTTTCCCATGAACTGAGTCCAGATCACACAATTATATTTACATTATCTATATTTCTAATTTTTATATTTTATCATCTAATTGTTTGATAAAAATTATTATTTTTTATTTATTACTGGCATTACAAACAACGGAATAATTTGTAGTTATCTCTCGGTAATAATCTTAATAACAGAAAATTAAAATTTGGATGTCATTCTCAAGAGCGCGTCCGGTCATGTGCTTCAGCGGCTCCCAGCATGCGGCAGTCTGCTTCCGAAATTCTAACGCCATACAACGTCGTACGATGTAAGGCGCATAGACAAGATTAGGTGCATGGAATGCATCTTCATTATCACAGTACTCGAGTTACCTTTGGGTGGATCGGCTCACAGCGGAAGTCACTTAAGGGGGAAGACACGAGTAATGCAGCGAGGTAACATTACCGGCAAAAATGGGCCTAAAAAGGGGTTCGAAATTTTTTGCTTTTCGTCCTTATATTAGCATATTTTGGGTTGAATGAGGGCTCATTCGAAAGAGAAGGTCCAACGAAGGGTGCTCTGGTCATGGTTGAACGAGATTGTGTTGATATTTCATAATATGAGCGTCCAAAGTCGAACAAAAGTTAAGCAAAACACATCCGGAGAATCGAAGTATTTTTAGGTAACTAAACGGATTTTGAGACTCAAATGATGACCAGAGCACTAGGGTGCGGCTTATTTTTTCAAAGTGAATATTTTTTTTGAGTTTGTGGGCTCAAAATAATCGTTTTGGTGAGAAAAAATTATTAAAAATTGTCTCCGCCCCGTACGACTACCCCCGGTCGAGCCTAAAGAGTTTAATGTCACTGAAATTTTGTTTTCGATTTTCGTCGGGGAAAAATGCGTTCCTTACAAAATGGATCATTCAACGGCTCCATAAGAGCGAAATTTTAAACCATTTTGCCGTATCTTCACTCCTCCGTGATGAAACACCGACTGAAAGTCGCGCGGACTACCGTTCGACACCACGCTGGCGCGGGCGCTGCCCTCGAGTCCGTCCGGGGTCCAAGTGTTAGCCCGTGCGTCTTTAACGTCTATTGTGCCCCCACTTTCCCTTTCAAACCGATCCTATGTTGTGTCGTGATTATATTGCAGCAAGGAATATACATGACCACTGTAAAGGTAAATAACACAATATTTATTTGCCATACTTAGTAACAAGGGTTTCTTTTTTGACATTTGGCAAAGACTTCCTGTGGGCTTGGCCATTAATTAACAACTCTTGGTACGACTTTTCATCTTTCGTGAGTCCTTTGTTGAAATCTGACATTAATTTCACAGCCCTTTCAGCGTGATCATTTATAACTCTGAGATTACTGACAATGTCCCTCCCTCTGTGATAATCAAGCCTAGATTCCCAATCCGAGACTGAAGTACTGAAAAACTCCGCCTGGATTTCCAGAATTTCAAAGAACTTCTTGGTGTTTGCTGTAACTAAATCGACTATTTTCATGTTTTTTACGTCTCTCATTTGAATGATTCGCTTCTTTTCAGGCTGTTCTAAGTTTTGAGCATTCGTGATAGCCTGGATTATTTTCTCCCTCTCACCTTCTTTCAATCGTTCGTCAAACACCGAAAAGCCTAAGTTAATTTCACTGACATACCATAGATGGTACGCAAAGCGATTTTGAGCTACCAATGCTATGGGTTTGTTAACCTTCTCATATTCCACTAATTTCTTTAAAAGTTTCAAGTTGTTGAGAGGGGCTTCAATGGATAGAGGCGCCGCGAACCAGGCTTGAATATACACCCGCACAACAAAAATAGCGATATCGAATAATCTCCTAGCTTCTTTCTCACTTATCACCTTCCGAGCCACAAGCTGCGTGCGAAACAGGACCATCTTCAGGCAGTAGATAGCCTTCGCCATCCAACGCGCACTGTGCAAAGGCCCTGGTCGACGAAACCGCACGCCTCGAGGAGGCGTTCCACCTAAGAAGATAATACTTAGTTCCAGAAGTTCCAAATAGTCGTCGCGTGGTTGACCTGCCTGCAGAAGGAAAGAGGTAAGCTAAAATATGAAGTGAATATATTGGCTACACATTAAAGCAGAAAAATTGCTCACTTCAATTTCATTGAGAACGAACTTGATCAAACTCTCAGCACAAGTGGACAGAGCACTGCGCGATTCTTTCAACGTAGCACACACAGAAAATTTCGCGTAATCCAATGATTTCCAATCATTTGAAAATTTCTTGAAGATCTGAGTGTCAGGTCCAGTAGAGCTCCCATTAGCGAGTGAAAAACATCAACTAAAACTCGTTCAAACACATGGTGACGGCAGGGTAGCCACAGAAGTTGTTTCTCTAACTCAGCCTCTATGAATGTCGCGCGCACCACCCGTTGTGCCTGAAACGTCGAAAGAATTATGAATTAAAATATTTTAATTATTTACCTTTCAACGTATTGCACAACTTTATACTTGGAATCCACCTGAGTTTGTATTCGTTGTGTCAAAAGACATGGCTTTCACCTCGTCAACTATTCCCCAGTTTCGGAGTGAACCTACAACCGCATTAGCGATTTCCTTTGCCGTACCATTTTTTATAGCGAAGCTGCCAAGGAGTTGCACGGTTGAATTGCCGGTTACAATGATCGCCTGCCTATCTTGCTTTTCATTTTTGTCTGTTAAATGGGGAACTATTTTCCCATCCCAATGCACAGTCAAGACTGAGTCAGACTGGAAAGTATGTATGACTTTCCTTGCAGCTTACTTGCGCAAACCTTTCCTCTTTGTTCTTAGCGTTTTTTCATTCATGTTTGTTTGTTTGACAGGAATGCCGACCGTTGACACGATGGCTGAGAGCAGCTTGGCTGCCTTCCGGTTGTTAACTTCTCCAGCATCTAGTATATCCACTACGTTCGAACTGACGACGTCCATACATCTGCGCTTTCGCTTTGGACTATCATACGACGACGCTTCGAATGACGTGTCGTCAGTCGTAATAGAGCTGGACAAGACAGGCTTTTCCTCTGTAAAGGAATTCAATATTAAATAAATTGAAGCTTAAGTGTAATGCGCAGTGCACAACGATGGGCATGAAGAGAGGACGGAGACGGACACTTCACTAGTATGGAAATCATTCTTACTTTCTAGTTCTTCCTTTTTCATTTCTTTCTCGCTCCGTTCCTTCATCTGCTGTTCCTTTAATTGTCGCTTCTTTTCCTTTTCTAACCTCAAAACTTCTTGCCTTTTTAACTTCAGATCTATTCCGCCAATTGTTCCAACCCTCGGACCATGCTAATCAATGTAAAGGAGCCTCTCTTCCTCCCATCTTGCCTTGTCTTTGCTGTCTTTTGCATTTTGTTTATTCATGGCTATTACATGTACAGCATCCTTCTTGTCCAGATCAAATAAACAGTCCAGACGAACCCTGAACAACTTTTTGAGCTCCTCACATTTGGCAGCACTCTTTGGGTTATTCTTATTTTTTTGATAGGAACGCCAAAGCTCGTACAAGTTCTTGATATCCTCGACGGCACGAATGCTTTGCTTGTATGGTATTTTTGTTGTATTCCAAATGGCTAGCACTTCCTTCACAGTAACCCAGGCCGACTCACGTTTTCTACGGAATTTGCGTAAATGGTGGAAAAATATGCGCAGCACGTCTTGGACAAGAGGTAGCTTTTTTGGACAGAGCTTCTCTAGCTCCGTTCCTACCTCTTCAATTACTCTACTGCTTCTCCGATTCATAACGATCACCGTAAACTTAACCTCTCACATGAGGGGAATACTTGGAGCACTAACTTTTGTTGTCAATTGACGATCGCATGTCGCGTATACGTCGGCGTCGTAGGCCAGCCGCCGATTCATCACGAAGGAGTCGAGATACGGCAAAATGGTTTAAAGTTTTACTCCTGTGGAGCCGTAGAATGGTCCGTTTTGTAAGGAACGCTTCTTTCTCCGGCGAAAATCGAAAAAAAGATTTCCGTGCAATTAAATCCCTTAGCCCTGGCCGGGGGTGGTCGTATGGGGCAGAGACAATTTTTAATCATTTTTTCTCACCAAAACGATTATTTTGATCCGACGAACTCAAAAAAATATTCAGTTTGAAAAAATAAACCGCACATTACCAGAGCACCCTTCGTTGGACCTTCCTCATTCAACCCAAAATATGCTAATATAAGAACGAAAAGCGAAAAATCGTGAAAACATTCCCAAAGACGAGTTCCGCCATTTTGACGACAATACAGAGCAAGTCACGTACCAAATTTAGTTCAGGAAATCGCTATGAGATGGCGCTTACTGAGGACGACTGCTAACGTGAATATCGATACATTGCGACGTTGTCATTCTGGCATAACAGCGTCTATCCTGTCCCTACCCTGCGCTGTTGCCATTTTACTGAAGTTGAAATATTCTTACATGTGCCGACGTCGACAAAGTATAGGAATAGGAACAAACAGCGAAAAAAGAGGAACATTTACAAGCTTAGTATCATAACCAACTGTCATAACAATATCGTGTTTGGTCTCATTTTAATCAGGAAAACCTCACCAATATGTTAGTGAAATTTATGAAATTTATGAAATTTATAAAAAAAAAGTAATAATAAAAAAAGTTAGTTTGTCGCATATTGTCTCACAGGTTAGAAGGCATTCACATTTTTTACGATCACCTCGAATCTCACAAGGAATATTTTTTAGGTATCTACCACCGATTGTTTTGATTTTTGGATATGTTGTAAAGGAGCGAAAAATAAAATATACGTATTTTTGTATTTTCGCCTGTTTCATATTTAAGGGGTGAAATGACCCCCTAAAGTTTCAGCTGCAATAGACTATCTCCGAAACTATCATAGATAGAAGACAACTTTTCAAGAAAAAGTTTCATGGTTTTCTATCTGGATATAAAATCTAACCCTACATTTTGTAAAAAAAAATAATTTGTTTATAACATTATTTTAAAAGTAATCACAGTTTATATAATAACTAAGAAGAACATACATTTTTTCCTAAATCTATTGATGTATCCTATACTGTGTGTGCCTCTTATATTTTTGCGCATTAATATTATACGTACACCCTCGCTCATAAATATGTGGACACGTACTACTTTCAATGAATAATTACTATACATCGTAAATTATTACTATACAACTTTGTGTCTTGAATGTGCATTTAACAATATTTAATTATATTAAATGTTTTGACTGTCATATTTAATTGTATAGTGGAACTATGGGTTCGTTTAGATAGAAAACTTCAGAAAGAATGTTCAATTTATCAAATATATTCATGGCAAAATACACTAACGATCAAAACTTAGCAGACAAATTTTTAAACGGTCCAAAAACATGGAAGTTTTTAACCAATTGGAATTAAACTTCGTGAGGAGTAGTTTTGTAGTGTCCTCTGAGCGTGTGTAAAGTTACATGGACGAGGGTTGATGCGAAGGGGTTATTTCATCCTCCTAAAGGGGAGAGTGAAGAAAAACGCCTGTTTGAAACAGGCCAGGGATGACGGAAGGGGTTGAAAAAATCAAAAAAACCTTTGAGGCGACTCTCCTTGATGCCCTCTACAAAATGTACCCCTTGAAATCCCTCTCGGACAAACCCACCCACCACAACCTCCCACCCCCCCTAAAATCCACAATTTTTGGACGGCGTTCTCGATTTTGAACTCAATGCATCTCTGGACTCCCCTGATCCAGAAAATACCATCACCTATACCGTGCTCCCCATAGGCGCCCTATGGGGGGGGGGGGGAGAGTGGAACAGCTTGGAAATTTTTAACCTCCTTCGTAAAAAAACACTTCCGCGTATCGAAGGGCGATAAAATTCACTATGTTTGTTCTCGATACGTTAAGGATGAATGCCGAAAAGGTCCCGTGTCGAAAACTGCCCCCGGAGCTGAAGGGAGGGGGGGCACAAGTAGGGGTGGTCCACCCACAGGTGTAGGGGTTGGAACGTTATTTCGTTGCATGGATCACATATCCAACAGTCCAGGCCATCGGGCTGACACAGTTTGGATGTCTTTTTCCCGCGTGAATGGCAATAAAATACGAAAATGTCATTTTTTTGGAAAACCCACCCCCAACTTCAGGCCCATCTGCAGGGTGAATGAGCAGCTCCACGTCAACGACGTTCATGGTATCAGATGCGCGAATGCTTTATTAACAGGTCCCCAAAGATTCAGATTTTTTCAATCCCGTTTTCGTTGTCAAATCGGAGCAAATTTGAAAGAGTAGTAAGTGGTCCGAACGAAGCCGGCATTAAAGAGCGACCGGCAGCCAGCCAACCCATCGTACCCCGCATTTCTCGCGTAGTGGCATGGCGCTGCGCTCTTACCGTGCAAAGTGTATTTTCTTGCGACCAATTGATTGATTAGTAAAAAAAAGAAATTTACAAAGATGATCGACAAAAATTTTGATTGCTATCAATTTCTTATTGAACTTTGACGAAGGAATGGTTATGTATAGTTATGTATAGTTATGTTTAGTTTAGGTAAGTTTAATTATGTATAGTTCTGCATAGTTTTTTTTACATTTAAGACTATACATATTTGTATACATATGTATTTTGCTTATTAAAGACTACGGATTTATACACTTTGTTTTGCATTTAATAAAAAAAAGTTTAATACCATTCAATTTGTTTGTTCCTTCGTCAAAGTTTCGGCCACGTTTCGACCCCTACGCCTGAGGGTGGACCACCCCTAACTTTGGGCCACCCCTGTTCAGCTCCAGGGGTAGTTTACGAAACGGGACCTTTTCGGCATTGATCCTTAGTATACCGACAACAAACCTGGTGAATTTCATCACCCTCTGGTGTGTGGAAGTGCCCTTTCACGGAGGGGGTTGGAAAGTAGTGACCTATTCCGCCCCCCAAAGGGTGGCTATGGGATGTACGGCGTGGGCTTTGACATTTTCTGGATCAGAGAAATCCAAAGAATCCATTGAGTCCAAAATCGAGATCGTCGTCCAAAAATTGTGGATTTTAGAGGGAGTGGGGTGTTATGGGGGATGGGTTAATCCGAGAGGGATTTCAATGGATGCATTTTGTAGAGGACATTAAGGAGAGTTACCCCAAAGGTTTTTTTTATTTTTTCACCCTCCTCCGTCACTCCTGGACCCTTCCGAAATGCCGTTTTTTTGCACTACCCCGTTTAGGAGGGCGAATTAACCCCTTCTCATCAACCCTCGTCAATGCAACTTTGAACAAACCCAGAGGATACTTCAAAAGTAAGCCTCACGAAATTTCTCGAAGATCGGTTGAAAACTCCCATGTTTATGACGTTTTGAAAGAGTATCTCGAATTTTTTGACGTTCAGTGTATATTCGCTAATACAACATAAACATGTCGAAAGTTAAATATTATAATTGATATTAATACATTTGCAACTGTTATTAGATATTCAGTGTCCACATACTTTTGAGCGGAGGTGTATTGTATACATCATGCACGGTCATTATCTTTGTTGCAGCTATTGGTTTTCGCAAACAACATAAATATATAACCAGGTATATGTTATACATCAATAGATTCACACAAAAAATATGCTCTTTTTTGTTATATAAACTGTGATTACTTTTAAAATAATGTTATAAACTAATTCTTTATTATAAACAAATTATTTTGTTTACAAAATTTAGAGCCAAATTTTATATGCAGATAGGAAACCATGAAAGTTTTTTTTTCAAAGTTTTCTTCTATCTATGATAGTTCCGAAGATAGCCTATTGCAGCTGAAACTTTAGGGGGTCGTTTCACCCCCTAAATATGAAAACGGGACAAAATAGAAAAATAGGTTGTTAGACGTCGAGCGACGTCGAGGCGCCGTACGGGCCATGCTTCACAACCCTGGCCTTCGTCTGTCGTCACCCTCACCCTGAACGAGGTGAAAGGACGACGACGTCGAGGCAACGGACAAGCCCGTTGCCGAAAAGGCCCTTAGTTGAATTTAAGAAACGCAAAGCGAAGCACAGCAATAAAGTCGTATCTAATATACTTTTGTGTTTTCTCGTGTTATGATTGATTTACCCAACAAGGTAACAACAATTGAAGGTAGACACCTAAAAAACGTTCCTTATCAGTCTCTCTTTCTTCTTCATCAAACTGTCTTTTTCTACTTTATCGACGCTCCGAAACTCTGAATGGATTCGAAGCTGGTCGGACTTGAATATTTGGTTATACGTACAATGTATGCCCAACCGAGGTGTCGAGTCTGTTTACACGCCGAGCGTTAACGTAGAAAGGAACAGACAATTGAGGAGAGAGAGGTCCAAAGACACAAAGCGAAGAACCGCCACGAATCGGAGAGTCTACAGGGTGGTCCACCTAAATAAGGCCACCTCAATATCTCCTCTAATTGTGGGGGTACATCAAATATTTTGTGTGCTATTTGAATGATTTGAAAAAACCATTCTATTGCAAAAGATTTCTTTTTTCTAGGGTAATTTTTTTCGGAGTTTACAAGGTTATCGATGTTTTTTTCCGTATAAATGTATAATTTTATTTATCACATTGTGTAGCTGATGCAAAAATACGTTCAGATATGTACATTACATGACCTTGAAATGACCTTTGAGTTCAATAATTAAATGGAAACGAAAAATTGTTGTCTGT